CATTCCTTCATCACATTACAGTGGTACCTCGGGTTAAGTACTTAATTCGTTCTGGAGGTCTGTTCTTAACCTGAAACTGTTCTTAACCTAAAGCACCACTTTAGCTAATGGGGGCTCCCGCTGCCCCCGCTGCCGCTGCCCTGCTGCCGCACGATTTCTGTTCTCACCCTGAAGCAAAGTTCTTAACCCGAGGTAATATTCTGGGTTAGCGGAGTCTGTAACCTGAAGCGTATGTAACCTGAGGTACCACTGTATTCAGTCAACCCAGTGCTCCTTCCATTCCCTACTATATACTTGTAAAGCTTTGATTATGGAACAACATATAACTGAATTAACTTATTCAAAAACTACTTCTAATCATAGGCAATACACACAAAGCAAAAACAGTTTAGAAATCTGAGATTGATGTGGTACTCAGAAATATATATACATCAAATTTTATGAGATTGTGACAATTTATCCCCACCCCTCTTTTTAATGTAATTTTGTATTGAGTTAGTTTTTTCTACTTAGTTTGGAGCTTACCCTGTGTAAATGGGTATTCTTTACTCCAATGGTGTAATCTTTCTCAGACAGCCACAAGGCAATCTGCTGAATCAACGTAATCTCTAAGCTGTACCATCTAATCTTGCAGCTGTTCTCTCTGCATGGTTATGCAATCTGCCCAGTGTGCATATATGAACAAACAGGCAACATTTTAGCATTTTAAAATGCAGCTCTTTTAAAGCTTCTGTCATTCCCCATGGTGTGCCAATATGCCCTATGTCAATTAATAATATGCTAGCCAGACTCTAAAACATGCATTTAAGTTGCACAAAACAACAGACATTGCTTTGTTAGAATCATGGAATTCTAGAGTTGGAAAGGACCGTGAGGGTAATGTAGTCCAACCCCCTGCAATGCAGGAATCTCAGCTAAAGTCTCCATGACAGATAACCTAACATCTGCTGAAAAATCTCCAAGAAAGGAGAGTCCACCACCTCCTGAATGTCGAACAGTCCTTACTGTCAGAAAGTTCTTCCTGAAGTTTAGTTGGAATCTCCTTTCTTGTAACTTGAATCCATTGGTTGAAGTCCTAGCTTCCAGAGCAGGAGAAAAAAGCTTGCTCAATCCTCCATGTGACAGCCATTTAGGTATTTTAAGATGTATCTCCTCTTTTCCAGGCTAAACATACCCAGCTCCTCAAAAGGCTTGGTTTCCGCACCCTTTTCGTCTTGGCTGCCCTGCTCTGCACACATTCCAGCTAGTCAATATCCTTCTTAAACTGAGGTGCCCAGAAGCAGACACAGTACTCCTGCTGTGGTCTAACCAAGGCAGAATAGAGCGGGACTATTCCTTCCATACCCGGAAACTACAACTAATCCAGAATGCGGCAGCTAGACTGGTGACTGGGGGCGGCCCCCGAGACTGCATAACACCAGTCTTGAAAGACCTACATTGGCTCCCAGTACATTTCTGAGCACAATTCAAAGTGTTGGTGTTGACCTTTAAAGCCCTAAACGGCCTCAAAGGCCCAGGATCCCTGAAGGAGTGTCTCCACCCCCACCGTTCTGCCTGGACGCTGAGGTCCAGCGCTGAGGGCCTTCTGGCAGTTCCCTCATTGCGAGAAGCAAAGCTACAGGGAACCAGGCAGAGGGCCTTCTCGGTAGTGGCACCTGCCCTGTGGAACGCCCTTCCAGCAGATGTCAAAGAGAACAACAACTACCTGACATTCAGAAGACATCTTAAAGCAGCCCTGTTCAAGTAAGTTTTTAATGTGTGACATCTTAGTGTTTTTTTGGTCTTTGTGGAAGCCGCCCAGAGTGGCTGGGGAAACCCAGCCAGATGGGCGGGGTACAAATAATAAATTATTATTATTATTATCTTCAGGAGAAGAAAAGCCTAAGGAGCAAACCCTACATAAATGCGGAGTGCAATCCCTAAGATGGTTGGATAGCACCTTGTACACCTCATTCTGGCAACTCCCGCAGCCAAGCTGGTGCCAAATGTATTGCTCTGCTTTCTTTTGGACCACATCAGCCAGGCCGCATTGGGGGGCAGGGGATCTTCTTGTCTGGCCAGTCCAGGACCTCCATACACATTACCCAGGCTTGTGCTGCTAACACAGAAGAAACAATGTGGAAGGCAGCAGTTACAATTTACAGGTCTCTGCAGTCAAAGTGGCTGCTGTTATTCTCCAGTGGTTTAACTTCACCATTGTTTCTCGAGACAGATGGATACCGACAACAAATTACTTCCCTTGAATGGTATACTATACCATTGATGCTGTTGTTGCTGACTAGAATAAGAGTTTTTTATGCTGCTGCATCATACTGTTGACTCATGGCAAACCTTTGGTCTACTAAGACCCCTACACATAGGTGCCGACTCCATGGGGCTTGAGGGGGCCCGAGCCCCCTCAAAAATTCGTTTGGGGGGGCTCCGCCCCCCCAATAATCTCCGGCGCCCCTCCAGCAGAGCGCCATCGCCGCCCCTCCCACAGCCCAAAATGCACAGGGAGGGGCGGGCTGCATGCCTCCTGCCCTCCCTCCCGAGCAAAAGCTCCACCCAATTTCCTTTGGAGCTGATTAATAGGCGCAGCACGCTCTCCCCTATTCGCTCACGAGGAGGCGGCGCCACTTTATTTGCATATTCATGAGCTTATTTATTATTCATGAGCTTTCCCGGGCCCCCCCAATATTTTTTATAAGTCCGCGTCCCTGCCCCTACATCCTTTTCACATGTACTGCTGGCAAGCCAAGCGTCCCCCATCTTATATTTGTGTAGCTTGTTTTTCCTGCCTAAGTGTAGAACCATTCATTTGTCCCTACTGGAATTCATTTTGTTTGTTTGGAACCTGTTCTCCAATCTATTAAGGTCATTTTGAATCCCAATTCTGTCTTCTGTGGCATTGGCTACCCCACCCAATTTGGTGTCATCTGTAAACTGGATGAGCATCCCCTCAATTCCTTCATCCAAGTCGTTGCAAACCTTCATTCTGAGCTCTGGCCCGTCTGACCTTCTCCCTACAACTGTTTGCTATTTGTATACACTCTTCCTTTCTGATTTCTCCTTTCTTCCATTTCTTATACATAGCCTTCTTACATCTCAGTTCCTTATGCAACCAAACCAGTTTCTCACCTGGAGTACTGTGTCCAGTTCTGGGCACCACAGTTCAAGGACACTGACAAACTGGAACGTGTCCAGAGGAGGGCAACCAAAATGGTCAAAGGCCTGGAAACGATGCCTTATGAGGAACGGCTAATGGAGCTGGGCATGTTTAGCCTGGAGAAGAGGAGGTTAAGGGGTGATATGATAGCCATGTTCAAATACATAAAAGGATGTCATATAGAGGAGGGAGAAAGGTTGTTTTCTGCTGCTCCAGAGAAGCGGACACAGAGCAATGGATCCAAACTACAAGAAAGAAGATTCCACCTAAACATTAGGAAGAACTTCCTGACAGTAAGAGCTGTTTGACAGTGGAATTTGCTGCCAAGGAGTGTGGTGGAGTCTCCTTCTTTGGAGGTCTTTAAGCAGAGGCTTGACAACCATATGTCAGGAGTGCTCTGATGGTGTTTCCTGCTTGGCAGGGGGTTGGACTCGATGGCCCTTGTGGTCTCTTCCAACTCTATGATTCTATGCACTTTGACGTGCTTTCGAACTGCTAGGTTGGCAGGAGATAGTGAAATATAAATATATAAATTCTAGTTATGTATGGAAGCTTTCATCAGCTATTAAGTCCTGATAAATTCAGTTAGATTTACCGTACTCCCAATAAATTGAATGGAGGATTGTGGCCTTAGACCTGGCATCTAGTTAGTTTTGCTCTAGGGCAGAGGTTTTCAACCTTTTTGAGTTCACGGCTCCCCTGACCAACTACCTTCTTTCTGCGGCTCCCCTAGGGGGCTCTGGAGGCGTGAGGTCCCCCCTCGCCTGCAGAGCCAGCAGCCCCTCACCCCTTTCTGAACACCCTCCCTTGTGTTGAGACACGCCAAAGAGAGGAGCTTCCTGATGCCTCCCCCCCCCGGGGCCTGGGAAGAGGGTGGCTCCAGCCTTAGCGGCCCAACAGAAACTGGCCAAAGGTGAGCGTGAGGCCAGCACCTTACTCACCTGGGGAGGCAGCAGCGGGCGCCACTCCCCTTCAGCACCGGACCCTCAGCTCCCAGGCAGGCCTTGCATGCAGCAAGCACAAGGCAGGCCTCCCTCTTGTCCAGCCAGGGCTGGCGGACTGGCTGGCTGGGCTCCCTCGCCCGCTTCCTTCCTTCCTTCCTTCCTCCGAGGCTGCCTCGGCTCCTGGCACCCAGCACCCCCTGGCCAGCCCTAAGGGCACCCTTCGCCCGCAGAACTTGTAGCCAGGGCTGCTGCAACAGCCAGAGGCAAGAGGGCATCCGAGGAGGGAGGGAAGAGGGAGGGAGGCCAGGGTTGCCCGCAGCCCCCCAGGGTGCCATGGCACACGGGCTGAAAACCACTGGCTTATCCCGCCATTCTCCGCCCCACTGGCGGAGGGCTGGTGGCAATTAGCTTAGCTTGTTGCTAGGCTTTGAAATTTTACATTAGGACTTTGTAAATAAACTTGCTGCTAAGAGCAACAACCTTCAATAAAAAGAGAATTTGAGTCAGCTGTGGGCAGATTTTCTTACACCTGTTGACAACTGCAAATAGTCCTCGTTTCATTTAATTGCTTATAAATGTGACATGAGGGCCCGTTTGGGATGGGAGGGTAAACATTCCATGCCAGTTCCATGCCAGTTAAAAGAGAAGAAAGAAACACTACAAGAAGCCCCTTGTAGTGGGGCTTAAGGAATGGTGGCACCAGTTTTGCTATTTTATTCATCTTGACAGCTTTTGTGACTTCCCGGTGCCGGGCCGGGCCGGGGGGGGGGCGCCGTGGGACAAGGAGAAGCCTCTCTTCCCGCCTAAAGCTGAGGCGAAGGCGAGCCCCTCCCCCCCGGCCCCCGCCAATCCCCTTCCTCGCCCCGCCCCTTTCTCCTCAGCCTTACTATTACTACCAAGCCCGCCGCCCGCCGCCTCCACCACGTGACCCGCGGGAGCGCCCCGCCCGCCGCGCCGCGGGTTTGTTTCCAAGGCGACCGACGGGCGGGAGGGAAAGAGGGATGAGAGAAGAGGAATGGCGGCCGGGGGGGGGGGACTCCTTCCCTCCCGCCCCGCAGAAGGAAGCGCGGGCTCGTCTGCTGAGGGAAGGCGGCGGGGGCGGGAGTGTGGAGGAGAAGGGGCTGGCGCATGCGTGGTGGCGCTGGAACCCTGGACCTCGGAGGGAGAGGGCGCGCGCACGTGCGTGTGGCTCCGCGCTCGCTCGCGCGCCGCTTAGCCTGATCCTTCGGAGCTGCAGCTGCTCTTGCAGCAGCCGAGGAGAGCGGCTTCCCGGTAGGCTTCTCGGGCGGCAGCGGCAGCAGCAGCAGGTACGTGGCTCCTTTGGGGCGGGGGGTTTCCTCCCCCCCCCACCCCTCTGCCTCTCCCGGCCTCTGCAAAGGCGCACGTGCTCACCTGCTGCAATGGGAGGCGCTGGGTCCCCAATCCCGATTGCACTACCGAGCCCTGCAAAAGAGGGGGGGGGATCCAGGGTGACAGCGGAGCATCCACCCCCCCCCCGAATCGCGCCTGGGGTGCGTGTGTGTGCGCGCGAGAGGGAAGTCCCCTCCGGCTGGCCGAGCTGGGCAGTGGGCTTCCTGTGCCAAGGAGCCCGGCATCCCCCACTGCAGAGGAGGAGGAGGAGGAGGAGGAAGGCGGCGGGCGAACACCGTGCGAGTGTCATGGTGGCGGGGATATCCTGTCTGCTAAGGTGCAAGGCATCCCTTTCGTGAGGGACGGACATATTGCACATGAAGAGGTTGTATTAGTGGAGGGAGAGGGATGGGGACTGGCTTGTTAGGAGTGCCTGGGACTCCCTTCTACAAATTTTGCTTTCTTAAAAGCAGGCATTTCTCATGTGAGGATCTGCACCACAAGCCGGGGATTCCCTGTTGCCTCCCAAATGCAGTTCACACTCGACGTTGCTTTGTGGTGAGATGCTCAGCATCCTTCCCTTCAGTCCAAACTCATTCTTAAAGCTGCAGAGTTAAAAAGATGAGGGCAATGAATTGTCCCTTCCATCAGCTTATACATAAAAGGTGCATATTTCTGTGGTGGAGGACCGGTCATCATTTTATCCTGTTGCCACTGTGGTGGTGCTGAACTCCATGGGATTCTTTTAAGTGTTGCCACTGCAACACTTTCTCCATAAGAAGAAGAAGAAGGAAAAAAGAACACAGTGTATGGTTTTCCCCAAGGGAGACTGTTTTCTTTAATCTTTCTTTCTCTGTACCAGATGGCAAATCCCACCTCAGGAGGGAACAGGAGGAGTGCATGCTTTGAGCCATTTATCTGCAAAAAGGTGATGAGGTACCTTTTGCCAAAGTGCGCTAGGAAGGCATTCCTCTCTGCCCATTGAATTTTTTGTAGGTTCTCTCTGGTTACCTACATACTTGAAATAGAAATATGAATTTACTACTTGTCAAGTTCATAGAGTTGATTATGTGGCAAGGAAACAGTCCTTTGCTTTGTCACTGTAAAACAGTATGCATGTCAGGGTGGGTCTAGTGAGAAGTTCATGAATTTTCCTATGGAAGTGTATGTAGGACAAATCCTATTGATGTAGTACTTTTTTGGAATTCATTCATGGGCGTAGCAGGATTTTTGTTAGGGGGGCAGAACCTTAGTAAAGTATTTTTCTTGATTTATTTGATGGAGGCAGCTGCCCCCCTGCCCCCCTTGGCTATGCCCATCAATTCATTGTGGGTTTTTGTATACCAGCTTGGTTGGCCTTTGGGGAAGGCTTGAGGGAATCCTTTGTATTTAAGAGAGGTGACTTTGGATGACTTGTTAAATGAGTGGTACTTGAAAGTCAACTGCTATGATCCTAGTGATTTTTTTCCTACAGTAAGGGTAGTGGGAAGTGGTAAAACAACAGAATTCTATATGACAGGGAAACAGATTGTTTTGGAGGTCTCCGCCTTGGGCTTAACTGTAGTTGGTAATTCAGTTATTTCCTAAAACTGTGTTTTACATGAAACTAAGAGGAGAGCTTTCCTTAATGTCTGACTCTAAAATAAGACATTTTGAGTTACTTCATGTTGAAAGCTCTTCTTTTTAAAAAGGTGCATGACTAAGGGCATTTCTGCACAGCAACGGGCTGTTTAGTGCAATAAATATGCTTTGCTGTGCACTTGTTGCACATGGATTTGGGTTGCAGAGCCTCTCAAAGTGAATGGTAGCATACCTCTTTATTTTCATTTGCCTCTTTTTAGTTTTTCTGAGTGGCCTTGACATGCTTTTCTTTTGCATTGAAAATTAATTTGCAACAATACATTGGCCTTCATTAATAAAGATTGCTAACTGACTTTCAAAGACCTAATTTAATGATATATTGGTTCCTTGGTATTTGGGTAACAGTCTGATTTATGTATCCTTAACCACACTAGTTTATGTAATATAGGCCGAATTTGGGGGAAAAAACACAACACCAACCAAACGAAAGCTAAACTTGACAAAGGACCAAGTTGGAGGTAGTTAGACTTTGTGCCACTCTTCTTCATTTTGACCTGCTTCTCTTTATGTGAACACAGTATTGCTTTTGATTCTGCAGTGCTGGCCCTTGCACATCCTGGCTGTATTTTTTTTTAGCTTAGGTTTGCTGGTATGCAGAACTAATGTACCTGCATGTCTGCCTGCACACACATATGTACCAAAGGGTGGCTTGGGCCATGGGTCTGGCAAGTTATTTGCTCTGATCAAGTACCCAACTGAAAGACAACTCTAGATCTGTGACTCTTGGAACACTTAATTACATATTGATCTTGTCAGCAGTTTTCATTTATCATGCAGTAACTTGTCTTTTAAATTTTACTGTTACCTACCATCAACAATGTAAGTTATCACTTGGGCAAATATCTGCTGATTAGCTAGCAAATAAATGCCATCTTGATTGTGAGACTGTAGGTCTAAATTGCTTTTACCTAGATTAAAATGCAATAGTGACCTCCTAATTAGCAATCTCTTCACATGAGAAAAATACTCCCATGAGGCATTTGCTTCTTCCTATATTACATTAGTTAATGTGACTTTACCCAAAGTCATACACCCCCCCCCCAACAAAGCTCTAGAACTGCCACCTTGGTAACAGCGTTGTTTCATTTTTATCGGAGCAGCTGATGAAGGTAAATGCTTTGCCACGTGAAAACACACAAGTAACCTCTGTTAATCACAGTAGCATAAGTATTATTTTAGTGATTAACCAAATCCTAAAAGGGATCCAAAGGAAGTGTGAAGTGTTTGTTGCTTTTATAACTGTGTGCGCGTAAACCTAAGAGCAGGAGATACCTGCATGCAGAAATGCACACACCTCTCTCTGTAAGTTGTGTGTGGGATGAGCTGGAAAACCCTAGCAGTGAGCTTGCTTCTGGTCTCAAATCATAGAGGAGGGCTGCAGTATCCAGTGGCTTAGCAGCTGCCCTTCCCAAGATCAAAATAAGTGATCAATTCACTCGGGTGGGGCTCACCACCAGTGCCCCCCTGCTGCCCCATGCCTCTTAGCACTCCCCTAGGTAATCCCACAGCACCCTTTGGTAGCTAGGGCTATATACCTTAAATCATATGGTAGTCATATTCTAGAGGTGTAAGTTTAATTGTCTACTTTTCTAAATAACTGTCCAAAATCTGCAGTGGTTTTTTACCTAAATGCAAAGGTCTTATGTAAGGTAAATGATGGTGTTGGAGAATGCCTCTGACTTCTCTGCCCTTGTATTCTATTCTATTGCTATGACACCTTCCTGTTGGCTGTCTCTTGTGGCTTCTGAAAAAGTTCCCCCCTCCATGTTAATATAACAAAGGCTAATATAGTTGTGCAAGTGTGATGTGAAATCTTTTCTGCCTTAAACATTATCAGAAATCAGTTGGCACTTCTATTTCCAGAAAATGATTCTAGATTCAGGTAGGTAGTCGTGTTGGTCTGACGCAGTCAAAATAAATTAATAAATTAAATAAATTGCCCAGTAGCACCTTAGAGACAAACTTAGTTGGTCTCTAAGGTGCTACTGGACAGTTTTTTTATTTATCCAGAAAATGATGTTGTTGAAAGTGATGTAATAGGAACTATCATTTTCTCTTCCCTTCTCTCTCTCTCCTTCCCTGCTCCAGCTTTCTTTTATGTGTCTCTAGAGAGGGGAGGAGCTCCTTTGACCTGGTACTAGTTGCCATTGATACCTAGCAGTACTGTACACAGGGGTCTGAGGGTGCCCCTTTCAAAAATGGAGCCAGGCTCTGTCTTGCGCTGGGACACAGAAGGAGTGTTGCAGGCAGGAGGGGAGGGTTTGCGACAAGCAGACACCCTGATTGTTTTTTAAATGGAGGAACAAAGTCAGTGATGAAACAGACCCTTGCCAGGCAGTGCATACATTAGGGGCCTGCTTTGTCTCTGGGGAGCAGGAAGTGAGAAATCCAAACCTCAGTGATACTAAAACAGTCATTGACTGTGAAACTCAGTGAATAGTTGTTGAAATCTGTAGGTGATTAATTTCCCCACAAAACTAGTTTCAGCCTTGGTTATTGGTGGTGTTCAGGTACTGCATAAGTTTGAAGAGTGAAGCAGCCATAGTGCTGAGCACATTTTAAAACTGCAACAATCCTGAAAGACAAAAAAGGCAGGCTCATCTTTGTTAGGGGGAGCACTAGATGGCAAAACTAAATTGACAATTGGCCCCAAACTCAAAACAGTTAGATTTTATCCAGAAAAGACTAAATAAACTCATCTCCTGGGGAAACAATTCTAGGAGGTGACTTCAACCTAAACACCAGAGATACCTCTCCAAGACATTCACCCCCAAATCCTCTGGACAACCTTCCTCTGAAGGAAGCCAAAAAAAGAGCAGCAGAGACTCCTATAGACTACAGTGGTACCTCAGGATACAGACGCTTCAGGTTACAGACTCTGCTAACCCAGAAATAGTACCTCGGGTTAAGAACTTTGCTTCAGGATGAGAACAGAAATTGTGTGGCGGCGGCGGAGTGGGAGGCCCCGTTAGCTAAAGTGGTGCTTCAGGTTAAGAACAGTTTCAGGTTAAGAACAGACCTCCGGGACAATTTAAGTACGTAACCAGAGATACCACTGTACTAAAAATGCTGAAAAACGAAGGCCTGTATGAAACATGGGGTGACAAAAACCCAGGCAACACCAGTCTCACATTCCTGTCTGGATGCCATGGCACAAGGTCTAGGCAGGACTGACCATGCCAACCCTAACTGCAGAGGAACAAGAATTATGGACAGCCCTATTACCCCAGAGGAAAAAGAGACTGTCCTCAAAAATGTAGAACCTCACAAAGCCCTGGGCCCAGATGGCTTTACAGCAGAATTCTGCAAGAAATTC